TAGAGAGCCTAACTGTTCATGGTGATGTTAACACTCCTACCATCAATGGCTTAGATATTCAGAATATGGACAACGATACTCTGAAAACTACTGGTAAGTAATGTACATTACTGTTCGATCTAGTATATGCAATGTATTATAGGGGAGAATTAACTTCCCATGTACCGTACATCATATACCGATATATCTGAAATATTTCCATGGTGATCTTTTGGTACAAATTTGTTTCAAAAGCATTAATACAATTCAACATGTGTAATGAATTTTGTGTTCTAATAGAACTTAATTCATAGAAATTACGTCAATCTGCAAAAATTTAACACTCTTGCTTACTAAATACTGTAGAATACTTTATTTTCGCTTGGAATTTATTTTCGCTATTTTCGCTGGAGGGATGATTCCGTGAAAATAAAATCCAGCGAATATACTTTTTTTCCTATATTTCACATTAAACTCATCAGAAATCAGTGAAAATAAATTTCATACAAAACGTCCAAAAAGCCTTTTCAGCGAAAATTAATTCCAGCGAAAATAAAGTATTCCACAGTATTTAAAAAGTTAAAAATGCTTTTTTCCCCCCCAACCCTGAGCTTCATCCATTTGGTTAGCTTATACAAAAACTGAGTTGAGCAGCTATCGAAGATGTTAAATTTTGCAACAGACTTGTGGCATTCATATCTTAACAACTTTCAACATGGTTTGGAACTCATTCAAACTGTCAAAACATTGCTTTCAAATTTGACACCAGGCTTTAAAAAATTAGATTGTACAAATATTGAAAAAAATGCGCTCCCAAAATATAACCCATTATCCAAAACATCAAATAAACTTGAAAGGAAATATTTTGAGATGATAAATAACTTATAAAACAAGTGTAAACTCTTGATAAATTGTCCAGCACCACCCCACATATTTTCAATTGCAGTAATTTAAGACAATTCTGAATTAATCTTTGCATAAATGCTTTTTTTTAAGGTTACCAAGTTGTGCTGGGGCAGAAAAAATTCAACAATAGTTTGGAATTGAGCTCGAATTTGACATTGACTGGTGAAGTTAATGGTATTGATATATCAGACTTGGTGAATGATGCTGTTATGATGTATGGAAAGCAAATGATCTATGGCACCACATTTATTAATGAATCTGTTTGTATATCTGAACTGAATGTGACAGGTATGGATCAGTTTAACGTTCTATATTAGCTGTAGCAGAAGGGTTACAGTTGAGAAAATTCATCACTATCCAATAGGGCTAGTGAACCTGGGAAAAATGCTATCCATCCTAAAATCTTACTGGTCCTGCTACTTTTTGTAAGTTCTCTTTTCGCCTTTATTTTGAATTAAAGATGGAAAATATTTACATAGCAATGCTCTCAAACAGTAAGTCATCAATGGAGATAGCGGAAGAGCTATTATATGTACCCTGCAGAGACGTGTACCTGTGATAATTGTAACAATGGACCCTTTCATGGTTAGTAATCAAATTAAAAACTGCTGGATCTGAACTAGTAATGTTTGTGTACAACTAGCAACTTTATTACTAAATCGAACCATGTTCCATGAAATCATTAATTCTCTAATTGAAATGTGCATACATTTAAACAATTATTGTATGAAATGAAAGAGCCCCAACTTTTCAATTTTGTAGTCTTGAAAATTATTTCACATATCAAGTTCATTATAAAAAAAATTCATTTGGTCGAAAAAGTTCGTCTTTGCGCACATTGGTTTAAAACCTGCACCTTTGTGTACTAATTTTATAAAGAAAACAGTAAATATTCAAAAATCTGCTTGTTACATAGTTAAATCGTAATGGTTAGTGTCTGCTTAGCAACAGAAGTTGCTCAATCGAATAGTATAAACGTATCAAGCCCAAGAACTTTTGGTGCTCTTCCTATCCCTAGTGTAAAAATAATTGATATTGATGCAATAAATATTGGCATACTGCAGGACAAGGGGAACTTTCCAGCACAAAAAAAATAACACTGGAATATCAACTGGTTTAGCAGGCTACCTTTTTATCTTATTAAATGTGTAACGAGTCTATAATATGCGAATTGACATAATGCATTATTTTAACTTTGAACCTCTTAATTCACAGGAAACATTGATGGTGTTGACTTAAACAACTTTGTAGCAACCGCAGTGACGCAAGGAACAATACAGAACATTATGGGTGTAAAGACATTTGATGGGGGTATCCATGCTGTTGGCAATGTGACAGGTCTGATCAATGGTGTTGATGTAGATGAGATTGACAGAGAGGCTATTAAAATAACTGATTACACATTTGACGGTATGTAACTTGAATGAACAGCATACACACAGAAAGTTTCTGGCCAGTAAAACCCTTGGATTTCAGAAGTATGTGGCCCTCAGTTTTAAGTTGCGGTTGTCAGTTTTCAATGGTGAATAGTTTCAGAAAATCACATGTAGCTGCAAATTAAAAATGTTTACTATGCAGAACTACCAGTACTTTTATAAACTAATTACATAATTTAACATGTTTTGAACTAATTTAGTTGTGGGTTTTCAGCATCTTGAGGGTTCAAGTTGCCAAATGACTCGCA